CCCCCCCCCCCCCCCCCCCCCCCCCCCCCCCCCCCCCCGGGGGGATGACGGGCCGGATGGAAGCTGGGGGGATGAAGGGTGGGATGGAAACCATCATCGCAGCCTTTACTTTGTGTCTCTCTTCTTTCTTTGGATCAGACTCTTGCCTGTTTCTCTCTGCCTAACTTTCTTCCTCCTCCTCTAAATGGCAAGACAGAAGACCGGTCACTGTCCTAAACCGCTGCCACTTGGGGTTCCAAGAAGAGCTCGTCCTCAGAGGACGAGCACCCCCAACCCCTCAAGAGAGCAGTTATGCATGAGAACAAGGGGGCACCCTGGAACAGGAGAGATCATCGTGCCGGAATCTGACTAGTCCCCTCAGGTGATGAGAGCAATCACAGACAAACAATTTATCAGACAATCTCACAGGACCAAAGCTCCGGCAACAGCAGACGCTTAATTACACATACATCTTGACCCTACTCCAAAGTTTCCTCTAGTCAATCCTAACAGTCAGTACACTGAAAATTAACTCGGGGGGAAGGTGGGGTCCACTGGCCCCCTTTATCTGGTCCTCTTCCCAGTGCCTTCTCTCTCTGCTTTTCAGTATTACTGTTCTCTTTAACTGACACACTGGAGTGGGTGGCCAAGTCCAGCCAGTTGGGGCTGCTGGAGTTGCAGTGGTTAAAGGAGAAGGGGAAGAGGTGGCTCAGCAGTTAGCGCTGGCTGACCTCTGAGGGGACTGGAGCTTGGTACACAGCACCCTTGCTGCTCAGCTCCCAACTGTACAGAATGCCGGCTCCTGTGGCATCTGTGGGTACCTGTGCTCACGTGCACACACCCACACACCGGCACATAAATAAAAATAGAACAGATCGCTTATTGTTGCTGTTGTCTTAGATGATGGGGAAGGGTAGACAGGAAACAGCTCTCTCCTTCCCAAGCATTATCTCAGACATACGAATAATAATGTGTTCCATTTCTTGGAGATGAATGCAAGGTCTGTGGTCAGAAATACCCTGGCAGATAAGGAATTAAAAGCTGTTTTAAGGAGGCAGATTTTAAAACACCACACAAGAGAATCTCCAGGCTGCTCATAACTAATTTTCAAAGGTTGGCCTCCATGGCTGGTGCTGGCCTCTCAGGAAATGATAGGCAGCGTGAGCCAATGATGAAGCAGAAGATGGGCCGATACCAGGGTGGGGGCGGGGCTTACAGTGGCGGCTTAGGACAGAGTGGAAGATGGACTGATACAGGATGGATGCGGGGTGGGGCTTACAGTGGCAGCTCATGACGAAGTGGAAGATAGACCGATGCGCGGTGGGGGGCTTACAGTGGCAGCTACAGCTAATGATGAGTCTAATTTAAATGAAGCAGAAGATGGGCCCATACTGGGGGGGGGGGGGCATACAGTGTCGGCTCAGAGCAGAACTGGCAACAGAAAGTGCAGTCAGCTGCTTTTCCTTCCTGTGTTAGACACATCTTGAGCGCCAAACTCCCCAGAGCCACTCCAGCTGACTCAGGAGGAATCAAATGATTCTAGGGTAAGCATCTCCTAATCTGCTGTCATACCCCAGACCCATGTCACCCCCCCAAGCCCCTGGAGGAGAGCAATTCTGTACCCCTCGAATAAAAACTATAAGGAACAAAGGCCCTACCATTAGATGCTCCCCCCCCACCATGGACCCATCCTGCCCCTCAGGGTTTATCTTTTATCAGTACTCTCTAATAACTTTCTCCTTCATCCTCTTTCCACCCCTCCCCCCAGCCAGCCTGCCCTGCTCCTTTCTTCTCTTTGACTCCTATAAATTATCCCAGGGTTCCATCCGGAGTCTATTTTAAATTTACGTCATTAATGAGACCTGTAAAGGTGACCCCGTGCCCCTCCCCACGCATCCTAGTGATGGAAGTAGCATTAGAATATGTGGACTAGCAGGCATGGCGGGGCAAACCTTCAATCTCAGCACATAGGAGGCAGAAGCAGGCAGATTTCTGTGAGTTTAAGGCCGGTCTGGTTTAAACTGGTCCACATAGTGAGCTCCAGGTCATAGAGGGTTATACAATGAGGTCTGTTCCTCACTCTGAGAAAGCAGATGGGGAACGGACAAATACAGCACCACCGCTAACTCACGTCACACGGAGATAGAAAGTGTAACACCGGAAAGAAGTTAAAATGACTCGTTCTAGGTGCAGGACTTCTGTCAGCTGCACCTTCGCCTCAAACCTGTGGGTTTCACTAGAAAGCTACTCAATTTGACAAGAGAGCTGGGTAAATTGGTTGGATACAAAGCAAACACTTAAAAATCAATGGTTTTCCTGTATATCAACAATAGCAATTACAAGGTGTAATAGAAAAAAAAGAAGCCGTTTACTACGTACAGGATGTGTCACACGGAGGGCAAGCCTTGCAGAAGGATACGGACAATCAGAGGCAATGAGAAGCTGCTCAGGTTGGACAAACGCTTTACAGGTGCATCTTTCTAATCAGGGTCCAGCAAGTGCTGCTTACAGCCGAAGCTT